TCCATCCTTTCTGTTAGCAGTTGTGCACTTAACTATTGGCAGTCCCTCGTGCAGTGCAGGCCCACGGAATTCAAGAACTGAATTCTCTTTGCTTTTTTTTTTTCCCCTGATAAATCTGAATTTTGCCTTCATTTTTGAAAGTTTTTTTTTTTTTCTTTTTTTTGCTGGTGTGGAATTCTAGGTTGTCGTTTAGCTTTTTCAACACTCTAATCATGTTACTCTGTTATCTTCTGCCATGCCTAGTTTCTGAAGAGAAGACTATTGTCAGCTTTGTTGGTCTCTTTATAATATGCCTTTTTGTCCTTTTTTTGACTGCTTTTAAGATATTTCTCTTTATCATTGGTTTGGAAGAATCTGAGTATGATGAGTCTTAGTGTGGATTTCTTTGTGTTTATTCTACTTGGAATTTGTTGAGATTCTTGGGTCTATGGCTTTATACTTATCAGTAGATTTGGAAAAAATTTAGGGATTGTTTATCCAAATACTCTTTGTGTCTCCTCCTCTCTTCTCTCTTTGTGGGATTCCAATTACACGTATGTTAGCCAGCATATTAATATTGTCCTGGCAGTCTCAGCATTATATAAATGTGAATTAATTCTTGTTGGTTGATCGTGTTATTCAGGTCTTCTACATCTTTACTAAATTTCTGTTTACTTATGCTATCACTTAGTAAGAGAGAGGTGCTAAAATCTTCCACCATAATCATAGACTTGTATATTTCTCTTCACAGTTCTATCCATTTTTGTTTCATGTACTTTCAAACCCACAGGTCCAAGAAGTTCAACAAATCCCTAACAGAATAAATGCAGAGAACACCACACTAAATACAACAGGAGATTTTTAATTTCTTTTCAGTGTTTGTCCTTTCTGCATTTCATTTTGGATACTTTCTGTTGCTGTGTTCTTCAATTCATGAATCCTTAGTTCTGCTCTGTCAATCAGCTACTAATCCCATGTAGTAAATTTTTCATTTCAGGTATTATATTTTTGTCTCTAGAAGTTCCATTTTGTTCTTATTTTTCTTTTTTTTAACGTTCCATTTTTCTTCTTCTCATCATGTTTTCCTTTAAATACTTGAAAATAATTATAATGGCTGTTTTTACGTGCTTGTCTGTTAATTCTGTGATCTCGATATCATTTCTGGATCTCGTTTTATTGCTGATTTTTCTCCTTACGAGGTCTCATTTTCTTACTTCTTGTTCTGTCTAGTAATTTTTTTGTTAGATGCTGGACTTTGAGAGTTTCATATTGATGGGTGTTCAAATTCCATTGTCTGCCTTTAAAGATGTTAGATTTGCCTGGTGGGAAGTTAAGTTACTCATATCTATTTCCTCCTTTGAAACTTGTTCTTAGGCTTCCCAACAACAACAGGGTGACCTTTACTTCAGGAATAGGTTGTCCCCTCTGTTGAAGTGCGACCCTTCTAAAGTCTGAATTGCCCAAGTGATCAACAAATACCCTCCCCAGCTGGTGGGAACTCAGATGATTCACAGCCCATTTGACCTCTGGCAACCATTCAGCTCATAGCTCCCTGCTCATAGCTCCCTGCTCACTGTATTGCCTGACCTTGTGGAGTTTCATTCTATGACTAGAGTCTTAACCAATAGCTAGTTGCTTTTGAGTTGATTCCTACCCATGGAGAGCCATATGTGTCGGAGTAGAACTGTGCTCTGCAGAGTGTTCAGTAGCTGACTTTTCAGAAGTGGATGGCCAGCCTTCTCTTCCAAGGTGCCTCTGGGTGGACAGGAACCACTAGCCTTTTGGTTACTAGTCATGTGTGTTAATAGTTTGCACCACCCAGGGACTCTTAACTGAGATCTTAGAACTCAGCAAAGACTGAATGTATTCTTGTACAGATGTGCAGGATAGAAAGGAGAGATTCTTTCCAACATGTTGATGCTGTGGCTAATTGGTTGAGTAGGCACCAACTCATGGAGACCTTTGTATAAAGGAATACAATGTTGCCTGGTCCCCTACCATCTTACGATCATTGGGATGTTTGAGTGCATTGTGGCAGCTATTCTTCAGTCCATCCCAGTGAGGGCTTCCCTCATTTTTGCAGACCCTCTACTTTACCAAACATGATGTCCCTTTCTGGAGATTGGTCTTTCCTGATGATGAATCCAAAGAAAGCAAGTTGCAGTCTCACCAGCCTCACTTCCAAGGAATATTCTGGTTATAGTTGTTTAGAATGTGCCTTCAGACAGAAAGATGGGTCATCACTGAGCTCACCTTATTGCTATCTTTACTTGTCAGCACTGCATTGCATCCAGTTCAATGCCTGAAATCACTCGACTCATTTTTTGTTCTTTGTTCAGTTTCCTAGTTTGAGATGCCATTCCATCTTGGTCACAAGTAGAAGTCCTTTGACTGCCTTTCAATACCAGCATATTCCGTCCTGGTAGAGCAAGGGTTCTGCGCTTAGACTTTTGGATTCACATCCAAGTTCACCTACTTACTGACTCTGAATTTGAGTAGGTTAATTATTTTCTCATCTTGGTTTTTCATCTGCAAAACAGAGTAAGCTTGCTCTTTGGGGACTCAGTGTCTGGCACATGTCAAATCACCCACTATCATCCAGGCTGAAGAATCACAACCAAAACTTCATGTAGAGAAGGAATTCAACAAAACCTGAAGTGTTGTAAAGTTCTCAAGGCTGGTGGCCATCCCATCCCCTCACTTATTCCAAGATGGTCCTGATTTCAAGGATTCTGCTCTGTTGCCTTCAGACTATTTGTGCGCCCAGAAATTTCTGTACTTCAGCCCAAATTACCTTACCCAGATGCCCTTTCATTGTGGAAGGGGACAGAAAGTCCCACCAGGCCTGCTGTTAGGAAGGGTTGTGCCTCTTCTACTCCTCATGGCTTCCTGTCATTGGTGGTGTGCTGACCTCCTACGCTGTAGTTAGTCTACACAGTGATTCTCCTCCATGGCTTGACGGCACTCAGGAGTGTCCTTTCTCTAATTTCAAAGCAGGGTAGCAGTTTACTCCTGAGGAGGGAATCATGCCAGTACAGATGTGTGAAAATCAGTTAGGATGTAGATTAGTGTTGTAGAAGCAGCTTTATGAATAAATCTCCAAGTGTAGCAGTATACTTTCTTCCAAACCCCTTCCTCGCTCTGGATCTAGGAGGGCTGTGGGTAGCTGTGGGTCACATAGATTCCTCAGCTCAGATTTCCTCTTTCCCAGGCAAATTGGGGAACGATCATTTGGTGTCAGTTTCCGGTAACCTGTGTGTGTGTGTGCAGGTGGGGGCCCCTCAAGGCTGCGGAAGTGCAGCTGGATTGCACAGCTGGTCATCAGTAGTGGGCAAGTCCCGGCATTACACAGCTCCCTTTCAGCAGTGTGGTCCCAGGGGCTCTCCAGGTGCTTTCCCAAGGAGACTTTTCTCTCCTGGGGAAGAGCAATGCTAGGTCATAAGGCTTGACCGAGAGAGCCAGCACAATGGGGACGATTTGGGGCAGAGAGAGAGCCAGGTCTGAGGTGATGGAGGAAAGAAGAAGGTCTTGGGAACCCCCCTTGGTGCACCAGGGCTCTCAAGGAGGAGCCCCAGGTAGAGCAGGTGGGAGCACTGAACTGCTGAGGGGGTACCCCTGGCAGTGGCTTCCATCCAGCTCAGGCTCCTTTTCCTTAGACCTCACCCTGTGCATTCCAAGAGGGCCTCAAAGGCTCATTGCACTTACACACACAGCTCCTATTCTGTAAACAATGCAGAATGGCAGTGACAGTTGAAGTGGTTGCCAGTCTGCCCACATGGGAGCCCAGGCCTGCACTGCGGGGAGGCAGGAACACAGAACTGGGTGCTGTAAGTGCCTTGAGTCCCAAGGGCCTTCCCTGCTCAGAGCAGCTGACAGGTCTGGTGGTGATTCTGGGATTTGAAGATCCAAATGCCCTGTAGCATGGCACCCTGATGGTGGAAAGCTTGGGGCATCTCCAGCACTCTGCACTGGGTGGCAGCGTTACTTCTTCAGGGACCTCGGTTGGTCCACAGTAATAGTGAATCTGAGCAGTAATGAACCCTTTTATGATACGGTCCTTCCACTTTGCAATGGCAGAAGCATAGTGATTAGAGTCAGTTTGGGCTGAACGTCCAGGTGTGCATAGGTGAAAAACCACCTGCATGTTTCCAGTGCACAGTGGAAATGACAATAATCCCACGTTTCCTGTAGATTGTTGCAAGGATTTAATGAGATGTTGTTGTTAGGTGCCATCAAGTCAGCTCCAACTCATAATGACCGTACATGCAACAGAATTAATTACTTATGAGATAATGTATATAAAAGTACCCAAGATCAGCGCCCCATGCCCAGGGAATGTTCTGTCAGCTATTAGCTCCATTCCCTTTCTGCACTGTCTTATATTCTGCCCTTTGGGATACGTTACTTCAAAAAGACAGACAGGTGGAGGCCATGTGTGGTTCTTGACTGGACCTGGAACAAAGTCTCAGAGGCAAGTGTTATTCAAGGAGTCCTCTGCAAGCAGCAGGAGCAATGTGGGCCAAGCTGTGAGCTGCCACCCTCAGAAAGCAGCAAGGTGTCTGTGCGCCCTGCACTATCACTCAGAACCAGCCTTTACCCCTGCAAAGGGTACCTAGACCAGCCCAAGGACAGCAGCAGGTACACCCGTGTCAGCGAGCATCTTCCCTCTGGTTTCTATGGCACCTTTCATTCAAAGACCCAAAGTGCCTGTTCCCTTCTCCAATCCCAAGGAGCACAGGTGCCTGAAGGTGAGAGGCAAGAAGCTGAACTTCCTTGCAGAGCCTCCCATCATGCATATAGCCCATCTTCTCTGCTCAACTCGAGGGCTGGAGAAGTTAGAGGCTGGCCCATCAGACGTTTCTGGTGGGTGTCTCTGGTTTGGTTAGGATGAGTGCTTTCTGCTGAGTTGAGGGAGGGGAATCTCTTGGCAAGCTCAGCTCCTCAGTCCTAGTTCTAGGTGGGAGTATGGTTCCCCTCCAGAACCTCTGGTGATGTCCTGGCCCTCTGCCTGCTCTCCCCAGGCGCGGCGTGTTGCACCTTCACCAGAGCAACGGCATCGGTGACCTGGGCCCTCCCCGGTGGCAGCTCACAGCCTGCTTGGTACTGGTCATTGTGCTGCTCTACTTCAGCTTGTGGAAGGGAGTAAAGACTTCTGGGAAGGTGAGATGACTGGGCCTCTGCTTTTGGGAATCAATATATGGGCCATGGTTGGGTTGGGGAGTAGACACATAAGCTATAGTTGGGTCAGAGAGTGGAAAAATAGGCTGTGATTTTGTTGGGAAGTGGACACATGGTTTGTGGTTAGGTGAGGGGTAGATGGATGGTCTGTGGTTGGGTTGGAGAGTGGACACATGGGCCCTGATTGAGTCAGAAAGTGGACACATGGACTGTGATTGGGTTGAGGAGTGGATACCTGGGCTGTGATTATGTCAGGGAGTGGACACATGGGCCATGGCTGGATTGAGGAGTAGACACATGGGCTGTGGTTAGGGCAGGGCGTGGATGTATGGGCTTTGTTTAAGTTGGGAAGTGGACGTGTAGGCCATTGTTGGGTTTTGGACGGGACATATGGGTCATAGTTAAGTTAGGGAGTAGACATGTTGGCTGTGATAGGGTTGGCAAATTAATACATGGGCGATGGTTGGGTTGGGCTGTGGACATACAAGCCATGGTTCATTTAGGGAATGGACATGTGGTCCATGGTTGGGTTGGCGAGTGGACACACGTATCATAGTTGGTTTGGGGATGGGGCATGTGGTCAGTGGTTGGGTTGGGGAGAGGACTTAGACTCATGGGCTTTGTTGGTCTGGGAATTGGACATATGGACCGTGGTTGTGTTGGGAGAGTGGATGTGCAGGCTGTGCTTAGGTCAGGGACTAAATGCATGGTCCATGCTTTGGTAGCTGAGTGGGCACATGGGTTATAGTTGGTTTGGGGAGTGGAAATGTGGTCAATTGGGGTTGGACAGTGGACTTGGACTGGTGGGCTTGGTTGGCTTGGGGCGTAGACATATGGGCCATGGTTGAGTTGGGGAGGTGAATATGCAGGCTGTGCTTATGTCAGGGACTGAATACATGGTTCACGCTTTGGTTGGGGAGTAGACACCTGGAACATGTTTGGGTGAGAGAGTGAATTTGGAACCTGGTTGGTTTGGGCAGTGGACACATGGGTCATAGTTGGGGGAGGATCTCAAAGGGCAAGTGTCTACAGCAGAGTATCTGCTGCACTAAGACAAGCACAGCATGACTTACTTCTCACTGATGAAAATACATTTGTTGTATCTGGGCACAAGCAATTTTGACCAAAAAGTGTCCATCACTTGCAATAATAGTCCTGGTAGAGTACCAACATGTGGGAACATTTTCATAATGGCAGGTTCTTCCTCTCCTCCTCCTCCCCTTGCACTCCAAATCCACCTTTTTATGCTCAGTCGGGGTGCACAGTCATACAATCAGTGCACACGCATTGCTGTTTCACTCAGAAATTCAGCCACTGCCACCTGCTGGGGCAGACCCAATGCAGAACAGGGGTCTTCCTTTCTTGGCACGTCTTTCTTCCTTTTATTAATTTCCAGGAAAGATGCTTAAGATAGGAGGAACCACAAGGAACATTTGCTGAGCTGGAATCCTTGAAATGTTGTTGGGCTCCCTAATCAGAAGCCACCTCTCTCTTTAGTTACGAAGCATCCTGAGGGCCCTGCCACATGCGGGTGGTGCAGCCTGGTGATGCTGTCCTCTTCCCCAGGTCGTGTGGATCACAGCCACCATGCCGTACATGGTCCTCACTGCCCTGCTTCTGCGTGGGGTCACCCTTCCTGGAGCCATCGACGGCATCCGAGCATACCTGAGCGTTGACTTCTACCGGCTCTGCGAGGCTTCCGTGAGTGTGCTCCCTGCTCACGCTGTGTGGTCCAGGCAGATGCAGGGTGATGGGGCGCCCATGTGCCAGGGTGGGGAGAGCCCCAAGGAAGCTGCTTTGCAGGAGTTCCTCCCTCACCTAGCAAGTCAGCACATGCAGGGTGACCTGTGCACTGAACTGTTCAGGAAGGAGCCTGCATACCTAACCCTGGTTAGGAAGTGGAAGCCTGAGCAAATGGAGAATAAGGAACCAAGGGTCACCTACTCCCTGCCTCCAGCAAGGAAGGCTGTTGCCAATCAGAGCCATCTGAATTTTACCTTGACCTGCTTCCCCTCCACCCACCCACCTTCCTTGAGTGATGCTCTTGGGTTCGCTCTCGTCAGTACTAATGGATCTGCCCAGTCCGAGCCAGAGGGCATTCTGTGGCCACCTGGACAGTACCTATGAGCTTTGGTTGTCATGTGCATCATTGGAGCTAGGCTAAGATGTATAAAGCAGAGTCCCCTCCTCAGGAAACCTGAACCTCAATGTGCAACCCCCTTAATGCCCATGATGCAGTAAGAGAGTGATTTAAATCAGATTGTAACAAAAGCTAGGGCACTCTGGTGGTGCAATGGTTAAGGCATTTTGGCTGCTTGCCAAAAGGTTGGCGGTTTGAACTCAACAGCCACTCCATGGAAGAAAGATGAGGTTGTATGCTTCCATGAAGATTTATAGCCTTGGAAACCCAGTGGGGGTCGCTGAGTCGGAATTGACTCAATGGCAATGAGTTTTCTTCTTTCCTTTTTGTCTTTTGGTTTTTATAACAAAAATTAAGTCTATGGTTGGGTTATGAATTTCTTCAGAAAAGGTAGTAATTATTCCAGGGGAAAATATTTGGGGATGACCTCATTGAAGAGAGCAGGCTTGGCCGGCCCTGGGAGCTGAATTCAGCGGAGAGCCCAGGGGACCTGTGTCTGCAGAGCCAGAGCAGGACAAGCCATGGAGGCCGGCAGACCATCAGTGCTCTGGAGAGGTCAGGAAGGAGGCCAGGGGACATGCTCACAGGGGATGTGGTTGCAGGTGTGTCACAGACCCCAATGAGCCTTTTATACAGATCCAAGAGAACACTAACACAGTGATAAGCAAGAAGCCAGTGCATCAGCCAGAATAAAAACAGGCAGCTCCCAACATGAGGCAAAACAGACAGCAGTCCAAGTGAAAGGCTGCTCACCTAAGAGCTGAGAAGAGCAGAGTACAAGGAAGAGCCATCCTCCCAACTGTGAGACCAGCAGAGAAATAGAATAGAGGGTGTCAAAAATCGGACAGATGGTGATGGAGAGAGCTAGACAAACAGATAGATTGATAGATGATCGATAGGTATGGATAGATGATTAGTAGGTAGGTAAGTATGTAGATAAGGAAGCCTGGTGGCACAATGGTTAAGTGCTCAGCTTCTAACCAGAAGGTTGATGTTTAAAACCATCAAGTACCTTTGTGGGGAAAAGACTTGCTGACCTGCTCCTGTAAAGATTACAGCCTAGAAACCCTACGAGGCTGTTCTGTTCATCACATTTGTTCCCTGTAAATCAGAAATCAATTCAAGGCACCTAACAACACACAACAGGCAGGTAGGTGGATGGCAGGCAGATAAGTAGGTAGGTAGATGGAAGGTGGATAGATAGATGATGGATGGATGGGTGTGTGGGTGGATGGATAGATTCAAAGTGGTCAGGATGCCACGTGTACTGAGCTCAGCAACAGCGGTCCCCCTGTCATGGCTATGTTCCTGTGTATGTATTGCGCTACCTGTTGTTTTAAGTGCTGTGGGAAAAAGACAAGACAGACACTAGTGAGCATATGAATCAATACTTCAACATTAAATAGCATTTTAGTGAATTTACACTGTTGCAAGGGTTATGAGCCAGATCAACTCTTCAGCCCGTTTGTGGAGTAACTGTACGGACAGTCCAAGGGGAAATCAATGTGCAGGGGAAGCCACCTCTTGTTACCAGGCTTCTTCAGTCCAGTGGCACAGGAATGGCCACTCTCTGAGATGTCACTTATGACTGATCACACTGTTAATGCCATTTGCTTGTTGGTGATATTGAATTTAAGCCCATGCCATTTTCAAAAAGCAGAGCCCATGGAGGCACAATAGTGGTCCATAGAGCCCTTGGTGTCTTTACTGCAGACCGATCCTAGGAGCAAGGCTGTCGATGTGCAGACAGCTGTGGTGGGCACAATTACTGTGTGTACTTCATCTTTCATCTTTGGGTTGAATGTGCTCCCTGCAATTATCGCTAATAGCCTCCCTCACGCCCTCCTCTCTCCTTGTCTCTCTCTCTCCCTCTCTCCCTGTCTTGCTGACCCCCCATGCGTGTCTCCTCCTGTTCCCCTCCCCTGCCCCTGCCCTCTGTCTCTCTGTGATTACATCTCTCTCTTTCTCTCTGGCTCTGCTGCAGGTTTGGATCGATGCTGCCACCCAGATTTGCTTCTCTCTGGGTGTTGGGTTTGGGGTGCTGATCGCCTTCTCCAGTTACAATAAATTCACCAACAACTGCTACAGGTAAGCCCTGTCACAGCGTGAGAACCTCCACACGATGTTCAGGGGCACTGCAGCCCCATTACAGCCATGGCAGCCTCTGTACAATCAAGGGCGGCCTCACTCATATTGGGAGGCCCTGGGCTCACATCACTGCTGTGCGAGGCTCTCATGGTCAAGAGGCTTCACTGATGTTGGGGGAACCTGCGCTCTTGTCACTGCCGTGGGAGGCTCTGGACGATCAAGGGAGGATACCAAGGGAAGTTCACTGACATTGGGAAGTGACGTGCCCCTGGATGAAGAAAAGCCGGAAATAAACTGCTTGTGGAGGTACTAAGCCAAAATGCCTTTTTAGACAGTAATTAGATTGGTGAAGCTATAGGCAAAATTTTCTCCTCACCGTAAGGCTTACCACCTCCTCTGAGGAGTCCTCCCAGATTGATTGGCAACCAAGGGCTACAGTAAACCAGCATAGGCAGGGCCCTCTGCAAGGATTCCCCATCCCCTCCCTTCTATCCGCTACCAGGCCCCAGCTAGTCTCTCGTCTTCCTGAGGTCAGAGTCAGTCTCTACCCCAAAGCCTTCCCCCACAAAGAACCAGCCACCCCGAGTGTAGTTCACCTGCCTTTTAACTGTGTAGACCAGCACCCCTGAAGCCATGTGCAGAGGAGCCCAGGGGGCGCCTTCAAGCTCCAGGAAGCGGTCAGCCCTAATCGGGTACCTCCCTTCCTCAGGTAGCAGAGGGGCAGCCTCGGCCAGTACCCACCTGGCTTGGGATGACCTAGTGACCACAGCCTTGTGCTGGACCCAGATCCTGGTAAAAACAGAAACAGAATTTAATCTGGGGACCTGCTTTCTTTGACCTTTATGAGCTATGTTTGCTTTCTTTCACATCATGTGGGCAAAAGTGCAGTGAAAATAAAAAGAGTGTGTGTTCACTGGGCAGGCCAGACACGCAGCTCTGTGGGGCCCACAGTAGCGTCCTTGCTGGCCTGCACGTCCAGAGGCAGCGGCATCAGCCCCGTCTGTGCCCACTCTGATTCAAACTATGCAGCCCCATGGTGCCCCAGCAGGAGGCGCTGGTCTGCATAGACCCCAGCCCTCTCTGCCCTCCCTGGCTTTCCTCTGATCCTCTGAATTCTCACCACTCAGAGTGGGGTCCCCAGACCAGTAGCACCCCCACATCCCCAGGTTGTGGGAAGTGCAGAGCCTTGGGCCCCAGCAGCCCTGCCCAATCAGGATGTGCACTTTAACAAGGTCCCAGGGAGGTCCATGTGTCTGCAGTTGGCTGAGCCCTGTCCGGCCAGCCCTTCTTCACCAGAGAGCGCATGTGGGGTGTGTGTGGAGCATGGGTGGGGCCCATGGCAGCCTGGCAGGAAGCTCCGTGGCCATCTCCTCTGCCCACTCAGGGCCCTGTGGGCCTGGTGGGGACTGTCCCAGTTCTGCATTAAAAGTCATGCCCAGGAGCATTCCAGTCCTAGGCAAAACAGAACCATTGGTCACCCTGGACCTCTCAGTGCCACGGCTGGGGCTTCCCGGCTGGTTGCAGGATAGCAAAGCCTAGGAGCCTGGAGTGTGGGAGGGGCCCCTCCCGGGAGCAGCAAGGACAGCCTTTGTTCCCTGAATTGCAGGGCTGGTGCAGCTCCTCCTGGAAATGTAACCCCCCCCCAGGCCCTGCCCACCACCACCAGACACAGCAAATTAAGAATAATGACTTAGACATCATGCCGTTCCCTCGCCTTGTTCTCCGCCCAGGACAGCTTGTTTTGCTTTACAGAGACGCAATCATCACCACCTCGGTCAACTCCCTGACAAGCTTCTTCTCTGGCTTCGTCATCTTCTCCTTCCTGGGGTACATGGCACAAAAGCACAGTGTGCCCATCGGGGACGTGGCCAAGGACGGTGAGCGCCTACGTGTCAGTCCTCTACCCCTAGTGCCCTCCCCCTGCTCCTCGCTGCGGCCCTGCCTGCCCTCGGGCTTCCCTACAGGTGTTTCCCTTCAAAATGGGAGGGAGGTGCAAAGGAAATTAAAAACCAAAAACCCAAACCAGCTCCAACTCATGGCGACCCAATGTGGGCCAGGGTGGAACTGTGTTCCTCTGGGCTTCCAGCAGCTGGTTTTCAGGCAATGGATCACCAGCCTTTTCTTCTGAGGCATCTCTGGTGGATTGAACCTCCGACTCTTCAGTTAGCAGCCAAGTGCATTAACCACTCGCACCACCCAGGGACTACAAAGGGAGTTAAGTAGTGTTTGTAAGACATAGTGGTGGGTGCTACAGTAAAGCACTAGGATGCCAACCAACAGGTTAGAGGTTAGAGTCCACCCCGAGGTGCCTGGGAAGACAGGCCTGGCAATCTACTTCAGAAAAATTAGCCATTGAAAACCCTGTGGGGCACTGGCACCAGTGGGGTCACCAGGAGTTAGAATCCACTCACTAGCAACTTGCTATTTTTTTAAAGATAGAGTTGCTTGAACTATTGGCAACTGTAGCCAGACATGTTTGAGGTGCAGTCAACTAATGGTCTGAAGGATAGAATGTTGGAAGCAGCCAAGGTCACCTTCCCCAGCATCCTGCAGGCCCCTGTCCCCTTCACTATCCAATTTCTTGTAGCCAGTGGGAACCATTGAGCCCAACTCGGTTGATGCTATCACATTGCACCAGCACACTTGACCCCTATTCGTGCCTCCTTTCAGATGCTGTGTCAGGAGGCAGGGCAAGGGTCATAAGGGGCCATAGTCCTGGTCTCTGGAGTGGATGCTGCCACTCTGGGTCTTTTTTATGCCACATTGGGACAGTGGACATATGACTTCAGATGCCTGATGGCAGAACTGACCTGTCCAAGCAGTATATAACATTAGGCTCAGAAAGGAGGGGGTCTAAATTCAACAAATTTCACCAAAAAGAAGTTAGTTTGCTTTGATAATGAACAATAAATCTGTTCCAATTGATTCTGGAGACCATGAGGTATTTGGATGGGAGTTGGAGAATAAGGGGAGAAACCCCTGAAGTGTCAGGTGCATGGGGGCAATAGTGACCTGTGCCTCCCAACCTGCCGACCCACAGATGCTGACAGTATGTGTGCGCATGGGGAAGCCTGTGGCCCTGGGAGCAGGGAGGGGAGGTCATGTACATGGGCAGGTACAGGTAATACAGGTAGGAGGCCTCAGCCCCAGGAGAAAGTATGGCAGGCAAGACGAGCCAGCACCAGGGGACTGGGCAAGGGAGAGACCCAGGTTGCTGTGGCCCTCCTGGACATTGGGGGCATCTGCTAGCATGTAGGGTGGAAGGCCATGACGCAGGCAGCCTTAGGTTGGGTCTACCCCATGCCCCAGGGTTTCTCGGGCTTGCTGGGCCTCCTGGAAGCCCACAGTACCTTGCACCTGCCTTCTGGGTTATTCTGAGTGTGAGCAGTACAGAGAGCTGACACTCCCAGGGCTCAGGGATAGACGCTCACCTGGAATGAGAGCCTGGGCTTCCTCGGGGCATTGTTCTCCTCCTGGGCTGGGGACAGTTGCTGCTCTCCAACCCAGAAATTTCCATCCAGGGAATGGGTGTTCCCATTGCCCGGCCCTTTCCCAGGGCTTCTCTGTCCTCTTTGATCTAGCCGGGAGTCCAGGGAGTGGAACATGCAGAGCAATGGGCCTTGTCACCTGTGCCCTGAGCTGGGACTTTGCCTTGATTCTTAGAGAAACCCTGAGAGCTGAGACTTCTCAAGTAGGGAACAGAGGCTTGAGGACTGGACAGACCCCTCCAAAGCTGCAGCAAGAGAGCAGAGGGTTCGAGAGAAAGTTCAAGTGTGTGTGTTTTCCAGGTCCATATCCTTTCCTCTTGGGAAAAAAAAGAAATCCAATAAAGAGAGCATAATGCAAATACATTCTGAGCAATGAAATTTACTTACTGTTGCATTTATGCATTTTCACGTCCTTTTTGCCTTTTATTATGATAACTAATAATAGTCCGCAAAACTCCGATTAGCCCCTGACAGTAAAGCTTAGTGTCTTCTGTGCATTTCTGTGACAAGCAAAGTAAATGTCATTTATAACTCTAATTCTCAAGAAAACAGGCTGAAATGTTAACTCTGTATAGAAGACAAGGCAAGGATATTGACATTATGTTCAGCTAAGCTAATGAATATCTTTCCAGGTCCGTGGCTTATGGCATTTAGACTTTAGAGCATCTAAAACAAGCCCTGCCCCCACCCCCACCTTGGAAATTGGGCCTGTTTGATGGTAGCTTTGGGAATCAGGCAGAGAACGCTAGGAGACCTCTGTGCTTGGCTGATGCTATTAGCTGCGGCCGAGTCAGCCCCAACTCTCCCGGCGACACCATGCACGACGAACGCAGGCTGCTGTGGTCTACCTGGTTTACACTGGCTGGTTTTCACCAGTAGCTCACCAGCCCTTCCTTCCTAGTCTTTCGTAGTCTGGAAGCTCTGCTGAAGTCTGCTCAGCATTGCAGCAGCGTGTGAGTTTCCACTGACAGATGGGTGGTGGCTGGACATGCGGTGCATTGGCCAGGAATGGGACCTGGGTCACCCCATGGAAGGCGGGCATTGTCCCACAGAACCACCATTGTCCCCTTGGCTGACAAGAGGACCCTTTAGAAGACCTCTGGGAGTGGCTCCTGCTCTGGCTCTTGATCAGTTCTTTAAGAAGATCAGTAACATCCCATTCCACTGGGATGGTGCCAGACCTGGCCTGATGCAGATTGAGAGAATCGGAAAAATGATCTTATGTCTCTATAAGGCAAAATTTAGGAGCCCGTGCTAGTAAGTTAAGTATGCCTATCTTTCCAAATTAATCATGAAGAGGGTCAGAATCTTGTTTACTTTGGGGTCATTTGATTCCAAAGTTCCTTGGTTCTTGATTGAATCTGCAGGGTTGAATCCCACCTCCGCCTAAGTTCACACCCTTCCCGAGGCCTCCTTGCCTGAACGAGTTGGTCCCCAAAGGCACGATGGGGAGGATGCTCTTTGGCCTTCACTGGTGCCTGGAGCGCCCTCTGCTGATTGGGATAACTGCTTAGCAATTTTATCTTATATCTTGTCAGCCTCCACTTAACGCCCCTCTGGCTTCAGACACTGTATCAGTCAGGGTGGGAGTGTAATGGTGCAGTCACAGGCAGTCCCCCAAATCTGAGAAATGTCAAGTATATTTCTCTATAACCCAGCCTTGTCCACTCACACCCACACACGTGAAAGCTGTACTAGAGCACATGGGGGTGGTTCTGTGGCAGCTCTCATCCTCCATGTGGAAGACCTGGGTTCGGTTCCGGGCCAATGCACCTCAGTGGCAGTGGAGGCATGTGTGTTGCTTTGATGCCGAGCAGGTTTCCATGGAGCTTCTTGACCGAGATGGGTTAGGAAGACAGGCCTGGTGATCTGTTTCCCAAAGTCGAACAATGAAAACCTATGGGTCACTGTGGTCCGATCCACAGCTGATCATGCAGGTGCTGTAGGACCAGCAGCATTTTGTTCTGTTGTGCATAGGGTCACCATGAGTTGGGAGTCGACTTGACACTAAGAACAACAACAAAAAGGACATAGAACACTTGCATAGAAGGACATGTTACGATAGTGGATGATTTGACTTACCATGGTCAGTATTAAAGTTCTATTGAGTTGACCTACAAATTCATTATTATTGTAAGCTCTATCCCATTAAAATTTTGCAGGGATATTTATGACCAAATGCAACTACTTTGAAAGAATAATAGTCCACTTTAAAAAAAGTTTATTTCTTTCCTTGCAGCAAGCCCATTAATGATTGGTGGGTTGTTCTCCTCTTTGATGGAGTCCATCTCAGTGTGGGACTCCAGGACCCCCGCAGCAGGGGCAGTGATCTAAGTGGATCCCAAAGGCACCTGTTAAACAAGGTGACTCGACTCCTTCATGTCCCTGTCCACTGGCCAGAGGGCATCCGCAGCCACAGCTAAACTCAAAGTAGGGGGAGAAGGTCAGTTCTGTCATGTGCCTGGATGGCAGAGGCCAGGACTGTCTGAATAACCACAGATCCCTTCCCTGAATGCTATTAGGGCACAAGCTGTCCTCTCTGCTCCCAGGGTATCCTCGGCTTCCTACGTGGTGTCGGAAAGCTTAGCGTACCTATCAGTTTCTCCCACTAGACTCCACAGTACTTTTTTTGATAAACCAATATATCAATATTAGGATGTTCAATACTGTTCCCCATCATTTTATTAAATGTTTAAAGTCATACTATATTTTTTGCATATAATGCACCCACATGTATAATGCACAGAGCATACATGGGAAACTAACAACATGTGCAAAGAGGTCGCATGGTTTACAAAACAGTAATACACATGTGTTATTTGTATAAAAATAAATTGTATGCTCACTGGATTGTTTGACCCCATAAACACATGCTGAGGGTGGGACAGGCGGTCTGCACTGGGCCTTCGGACCCTCAAGGCTTGGAAGGAGGGGGTACAGCAGCTGCCCCACGCTCAGAGGCAGGGTGTGGAAGAGGGCCAAAGAAAGATCCCACACAGTGACACATCAAGGAGGGGCTTCAACTTTCTGAAGATTTTGCAGGAGTTGCTGCCACATTGTGTTACTGGATTTAATGTCACTGAGCTGGATACTGTGCTCTAGGCAGTGAGGTTCCTAACAACTAGCCTGGCCAAGATGCATGGTGGTGTGCCCACCGTCACTGTGCTCTGATAGGTGGGGATGGCAGGGGTTGTGCTTCTGCAGATGCATTGTCTCTGGCAACACCATGACACCCTAGAAAAATGATTTTACATGTCTTGGGGCTCCTTATGGTATTTTATGAGTTGAATCCAATCCAATAATAATAATACTTATTGGATACTTTAAAAAAAACAAAAAGGAAGATCTTTTGTTAATCTGTCTAGGAAAAAAACACATTGTCTTTAAGT